GACTAGAAATTAGAATCCAACAATCCAGACAATTCTCCAAAAAAAAAAAAAAAAAGAGTAAGAAAATTAAGCATCATGAATCACGTGGGTGCATCAAAATTGATTGAATCTCTCCCAAAAAAAACCCATCGTCGTAAAAACAAATTAAGCAGCGCTGGCAGCCGTAAAAGTGCGTGTGTGTACGTACTTGTAAGGTAAATCAAAAAGCGCGTCGTGTGGAATATCAACTAGTTTTTTTTTTTTAATGTTAATATCAACTAGTTTTTTAATTTAATTAGTCGAAGTGTTCTCATCTTAATTTTTTTTATATTTTAAAATCAAATTTTTTATAATTTTAAAAATATAACTTTACAATTAAAAGTATTAATTTTTTAAAATATTAATTATAAAACTTGAATTATAAACCAAACCTAAAAAATAAACAACACTTGCTTAACTATTAAAAATATCAATTAGTGCCTCTTTGTCTAGATGGATTACAGGTTGCAGATTACAGATGAATGAGTGAAGGAAAAAGTTAGGGGAAATGATGTGACCCAACTGCTTTCCATTGTTTCTCTCCTTGGAAAATTTTTTTATAAAAAGAAAAAGAAAGTTAAAAAGAAAGAATTGTTGTGGGTACAGTGTAATAAAAATTTTCTTATTATATGTGGTGGTGGCGTCAGGCTCTCAGCGCCTTGTCTCCATGAATAGCAAGATTCCAACTGTCTTGCTTCGATCACTCCTTCCTGTGCTATTTGGGTAGATTTTTTAAGCAAAAAACATCTCTGTCAAATCAATTTGCCCTTTCCTTTTCTCCTTTCCTTTTTTTTTTTTTCATTTCATCTCTAACAAATTCATGTATAAAAAGAAAATTGAACCATCGTTTTCTTTACCAGCTAATGAATCATTTACCAACAATAATTCAGATTAAATATCATCACAGCAAGAGGAGTTGGTACGTATTTCATAGGTCTGATCTATTCTGAGCTTTGAAAGCTTCAGATTTGCACAGGGTTTCACGTTTCAAGTGGCAAAGTAGTTAATTTAATTGTCCCTTTAATTATATATCCGATAGAAAAAATATGAATAATTGATAATACGGGTGGTGGGGTCTATTTCTATTTACATAGATTGGTGTCTGCAACTCCAGCAAAATATGCACGGTACTCATGAGCAGAAGCTAAGTTGAGGGTAATCCATCTTTTTCTTGTAAGGTATATGTGTAAGTGGCAACTGGCAAGGGCATGTGGTCTCCAAAAAGGGCAGCAACCGTGCTGTCATGTAGGGCAGTAAAACAGAGTCCACATGCATATGCAGTGAATTTGCTTGTATATCTCAATTTGACAGACTCTCTGAAACAAGGTATTTCTCCTTCCCATATGGATTGTATGGTTGCATGATAAATAATGAGAGAGGACATATAATGCATCCAAACTGAAGAGAAGAGCGAGTAATGGTGTGTGTATGTTGTGGTTGTCATCAACCCATGAAGTTTACATGGGCCAAAGGCTATTGTCTCTCCTTTTTTCTTTTTTTCCTCCTTTATCTGCCTTTCTTTAATTTTTAAGTTAGTAAGTATGTTAAATTGAAAAGTATACTAATAATTGTTTATATATATAGCATGTATATGTATATGCAGCTGTAGAGAACCAAATATCTTGTTTGAAAAGGCCACAATTCTATGATTTCTATCTATATATTAATCAATCTCTATCTATTTCAAAATAATAATTATTTTTTACTCATCATTTTTCTTAATTAATTGTTGTTTTTTCTTTTTTCTTTGGACCGATATACAATCATTGTTTTTTCATTTATTAAGATAAACAATTTTTCACTACTTTAACATTATTATTGTCACTTAATTTAATTATTCACCTTACCACTAAAATTTTCTATTTTTCTTTTGTTTTTATTAAGAGTATAAATTAAATTGTTAAATATTTTGAACAAATCTTGAAATTCAAAACTACCCGTCATCCAATAAGGACCTAAGTTCCTAACAACAAACTAGAATTGCCTACACAATTATAAGTTACAAAGGCTTTTTGACAAGTATTCATACCAAGGGGTCGTGTGAACCAAAAACCTATTAACAGACAAGAACAATTCCCACCAAATTCCCAAAAAATATAAATTTGTATCAAATTCAAACTAATAACTAATCTTAACATTGGCCAATAACTTAAATAACTTAATAGTTATCTCCATTCACTGGAAGGAAGAGGTTTTTAGTTCGAGTTACATTGTATATAAGTGGGATAAGATAAAGAATATGAGAAGCTTACCTCCCATTGTGTAACCAAGGTAAGAAAAAAAAAAAAAAAAGGAAAAACTAATCTTAACATTGAAGTATTGAGCAAACTCAGATAAATAAAATGGACAATAATTGGTATATACTCAGTTTAATATACTATACAACACATTTATTAAAAAATATTATTTCTAATTAGTATGAAATTAAAGGTAGATAAATTTAAAGATATAATTATGCACATAAGAGGTAAGTATCGACTAAATCAAATGTATTTATATTATATTTTTAATAATTGAACTAGAAGTGTATTAAAAAAATATGTTGAACTAAGTGTGTACAAAAAACGTGTTGAACTAAGTGTATACCAATTATTTTCCAAATAAAATATAACAAATAAAAGCATAAATTATTTACAAATTATTAATGAAAATTTCTAGCTGAGTGCATTTATTGACCTTTTTCACCATTAATTTATATGAAAAAAATAAAAGTTAACTTTAATTTTATTAATCGTCCAATTAATATATTCCAAGTGATGATATTCAAAATAAAATTTACTTTCATAATTTTTGAAATTCTAGAGTTAAAGTATTGAGCAAACTCATTGGAATATAAATTAATAACTAGTAACTGTAAAAATATAAATTTGATACCCAAAAAAAAAAAATAATAAGTGAAAATAGAAATTGTTTGCAAATTATTAATAGAATTTTCTAATTTTTACCCTTAAGGCACAAGTTAAGGATTCATTTTGAGCCTTTCCACTATTAATTTGTGTAAAAAATAAAATAAAATTGCCTTTACTTTAATTAACTATCTAATTAAAATATTCTACATTTTTTTAATCAACAAAATTAAATTAAAATATTCCACATAACATTAATGTTGAAAATAAAATTTACTCTCATAATTTTCATATAAATTAATGGTGAAAAGGCACAACAAATGTACTTTTAACCTTGTGCTCTAAGGTCATATATTAAAAAAATCATTATCAATATGTGCAAAAAATAAAGAAAATGACAATTATTTTAAAATGAATAGAATAGTAAATTAATTTTAGTTACTTTTTTTGAGTTTAACAATCAAAGTATTCATGAGCCAATGTATACACACCTGAGACTACTTTTAAGTACTTAATATGTGCTATATATACAACAACTTTGGGAGCAATAAACATATAAAGCATATATAAAACGGCTTTGCAAAAGGTCTGAATTTAAACTGGAAAAGTAAAAAACAGTACTGAGCATAACAAAAGACTAAAGTTTGTATGTACTATAAGCTTGGTAGCTATGGAGGATCCTTTTGATCAGTAAATACCCTTTTTATGTTGATCTCATTTTAAGCTAAATATATTGCTTTTTCCCTATTAAAAGCTGCAACCCTAAATTGTCTTGGAAGTTAGAAAACTAATTACTAACATGCAATGCAAGACCCCACTGGATGGATGGATCATGGATCACTCTCTAAAGCCTGTAAATATGTTTAATTGTGTCTGTATATTAAAAAGCTTTTTTAGTGTTACATCATTACCCCATCGATAATAACAAAGCTCAAATGACATGTAATTAGGCAGACAGTTGGTGTTCTCAATCTTATTACCTACAAATTGTCCTTTGCTTACCATTTTAAGAAAAGGCAAAAAAACATCCTTCCACCAATTTCTTTGATTCAGACAACCACTTTCGATCAAACACATGATATTAACTGTACATCAGAGTATAAGTAGTGAACTAATTTAATTGAAAATTAGAGGATACCTCCCATGCTTTTATTTTAGGACAAATTGTACTTATCCCCTTGTGGTTTTGAGTAGATGCACTTAACCTCACAAATCACAAAAAAGTGCACTTAAATCCCATTTGGTTTGAAAATACGTACTTCCCCCCCAAATCATGAAAATATTGTTCTCTTGACCCCTTTGTGATTCAAAAATATGCACTTAATCCCGAGTATTTTTGAGATTTTTCCTTTAACAATAATAAACATTGGCGGTCAATACACATTTTACAAACCACAATGAGGTTGTTAGCTCAATTTCATAATTTGGGGAGGTAAGTACACATTTTCAAACCACAAGTTAATTGTACATTTTTATGATTTGGGGGTTAAGTGCATTTTTTTATGTTTTAGGGGGTTATGTGCACCCACTCCAAACCAAAGGGGGGTAAGTGCAATTTCCGCTGTATGTTGCAATAATTAATTAAGATATGGACCAGACATCATTAATCGATAGAAAATGATTGTTACAACCTCTAATTCAATACATCTTTTTCATTTAATTCAACCATTAAAATATAATAAAATTATAATCAATTTCTATACATTTTATATGCATGGTTGTATTTTAAAATTTATCTATCTTCAATTTCAAACTTTAAAAAATAATAATTTTTTAATAAATATATTGTATAATATATTAAACAAAAATATATACCCATCAATGTCATTAACCAACCCACACACACTTATAAGTTTTTTTCTTTTTTATCAGCACCACACACACATATCAGTGAAACGAAAATTTTATTTTCTTTATCATCAATTCAGAAACATATTAGGAATGATTCAAAGACATATCAATGATGAATAGAGCAACGGTCAAAACTGTGTTGCAGCTGAGAAAAAGAAAAAAAATTGTAGTCTCCAATGTCAAAATTACGTTGTTGAGAGGTATTTATTAAGGATAAAGATGTGTGCACACCCGGGTGTTGAATCCGGGTGTGGACACATCATTTTCCTTATTAATTAAAACTACCTAATTTTGAAATATAACTAGAAATTAAGTTTTAACTAAAACTACATAACTCTATTGATGAGGTCAATATTTTGGTTAGAGATCTGCCATTCTTTGGTGAAATTACTTTATTTGGTTGTCCCACTTTATCCATTCATAATTATAGAGAAACTTCATTTAATACAATAGTTGGTGCTTATCTTTTTCATTTTTATCATTAATGACAATTAAACCAAAAAAAAAAAACCTAAGGCATCTCTATTTCATCTCAAATTATAAGGGTAAAATTAAAATAAGGACCTTGATTGGTGCACACCCAGATCCAATACCCGAGTGTGCACCCCCACATAAAAAAAAAATTTAGACCAGATGATGATGGGTTTTTTTTTTTTTCAATGGGGAGTGTGCACACCCGAGTGTTGACCCGGGTGTGCACAAATCATTTTCCTTAAAATAATAGTATTTAATAGTCTATTAATTTAAATGAAAAGCAAGGCAACTAATTTTAAACCACCTCTATTTAGTAAGTGGAAGGGAGTATAAAATAAGACAAAACTAAGAAATTATTTTAAGATATCAGGGTTAACATTTTAAACTTTAATATCAATAATTTCCATTAAGATTATAAATGAAGTAAACAAATAATTAATCTTTAGTAGGAGGGAGTAACACATATTTCTTACTCCTATTCCTTAATTTAGTATTGCCTTCATTTAATAATTACAAAGAAACTCATTTAATACACATGATTAGATGTTCCATAGGATGTAAAAAGGAACTTCTTTTTGCCACTATGCTAGGGTTTCATCTCTCAATGGTGGGATCTAGTTAGCTTTTTGGGCAGCAGGGGTCCTTTTCCTCACTAGTTTTCATGGTTTTCTAATCATTTGGGTTCTAGTTTGATATCTTCAGGGCTTTATTAATGGGTGGGGTTGAAGCGACGATAGGAGGTGCTTAGGTTAATGACTGGTTTTGAGCCTTGAGTTGTTGGCTCTCTCTATCAATGTAGGATGAAGTAGGGCTAGTGATAAGAGAGGAGTCTACGGTAGCGGTTAGAGGTTTCGTTGTTGTTTTGTTCAAGGCAATTTCTCTTTGCTTCGTCCAAAAGATGATGGAATTGAAGAGGTTGATGGTGGTGACGGTGATGGTGGTGTGGCAAACAACAATGGCAGCTACTAGTGGAGAGGGAATCTTGGTGGTGATAATTCCTAGGGTTTTGAGGGTTACTTTGGACTTTCCTACAATGTAACTAGGGTTTGGAAACTAGTTGGGCTTGATTATCTTTTTATGGGATGGGCTAGTTTACCTCTTTTGGGAGGTGCTTAGGCTTATTAATTTAGTTTTAAAATGATGGCGTTTATAGTAGTACAATTTCAAAACTAACTCAGGCTGCTCATTTTGGTTTGTAGAAAAATGTAACAATAATTCCTTTTGGGTTCGATTAGGAATTTTTTATTTTTGATCAGCAAAGAAAAAATATTATTATTAAATTAAAGTACAAGGGATATTTCTATCCATACAAATCAAACAAGTTATAAAATGTGAGGCAATGCGATCAACATATATAGTCAAAAGAACGCTATCCCATAATATGATACAACAGCAATAGCTATACCTTCTACCCCTGTTTATGGTTTGAGTAGGATTTGGATGTGGTTAGACGATGCTCTGTTCCACGCCTACTTTTTCTTGATTATTAATAATATTTGCTTTTTTATTAAAAAAAAAAAAAAAAGACAAAGAAACTCATTTAATACAGTGATTTTGGTTATTAAAAAAACTAATGAATTTTTATTTTATCATATTAAGGTTAAAATTGAAATACTAGTATTTAATGTCTTTTTAAATGGAAAGTAAGACAACTAATTTGAATAACCTTTATTTAATAAGTAAGACAATTAAATCAGATTAAAGAAAATAAAAAATGAAAAATGATTGAGAAACAAAATTTTTACTTAACTTTTTCATACAACCTTACATATTATTTTATAATTAACTCTTTTCATATCTATTGAGTTTCGTGATATTATATATATCTACTTATTTAATAATATATTAAAGTTACAAATAAAAATTATACAAAAAATATTATTGACATATCATTACCAATAGAAAATCATCAGTATTAATGTTTAGTTAATCCTAATTTCTTAAGCAAAATTTTTAATTATATATCTTTCTTTTTTTTTTAGCTAAATTAGCCACTTTCCCATACCATATATAAGCGTTAATATACCGCTTCAATAAAAATCTTCACTGAAAAATGAGAAAAACCTCCCTCTAACCAAATGTCACCTTAAAGATGATCAAATCAAACCAAATCGTCCTAAAACTCTCTCCTAGTAAAAGGAATATGTTTTGTTTATTGGATTGGTCCGTTTGGAAGGGAGGGGAGCTAAAAACCCTAACCCTAATGAAAAATGAAAAAGGTGAAACGCAAAATTGAGGAATCCCGAAGTTAGGGTCGCAAAGGTGCAGGAACAAAAGCAAAGGCCAAAGGCAAAACGAAATGATTACTTGAATGAGATAGGGCCCACCCCCTAATCTTTCCTTTCTAAGTCTCTCAATTTTTTGACTTGGGATTGGGTCCCACCTCGGCCACCATTGTCTTTATGGATTGAATGATAAAAAGAGCACCTCACGTGGACTCTGAACCAAAGGGTCTCTGCGGGCTGAGACCTCCAACCACAATCAAAAAAGCCAGATCCATCCATTCACAATTCACAAATTAATATAGAACAAAAATAACATTTATTTCTTCTTTTTCCTTCTAAATAATTTTTAACAGTTTAATGTTTTTCAATCTAAGCAGTAGAGAAATTTGTCAGTATATAACAGATAATCTAGGTAGTTTATTATAATAATATCTTTTAAATAAAAATAAGAGATTTAAATCACATAATATAAAAATAAAATTAATTGAATGAGGGAAAGTTACATTTTTATTATATAACTTAAAATAAAAGTAAAAAATTTTATCAATCTAAGGTTTAGAAAAGACATTCATATCCTTAATAAATCACCTTGACTAAATTTATCGAGGATAAAAAGGTAATTTTAAGCCTGAAATGATAATGTTTTTGCTATTTTGAACTGAAAAGATGTTTTTTGCCTTTTGAATTATTTTTTAATTTTCTTCCATAAATAAAATGAAAAAATTATTTTTTATTTTCTTCCGCAAATAAAATAGAAAACAACTGAAACCCTTTGCTTTTTCTTAAAAATAAAAAATAAGAAAAAAAAACTTTATTTGTTGCTTTTTAAAGATCACCCGTATAATTCCCATTCATTATCTTTGTTTCTCCCTTATCTTTTCTTTCTCTCTCCCCAAACACATCAATTCCATTGCAAAAAAGAAAACCAAAATCATAACATTTAGTCTATTCTACAAAGGACACAGTCCTGCTTTCGTAGAAAAAAAAACCTAGCCATTACTGAAACAACCTGCTACTTTCATGCTATTATGGAAGCCGGTGAAGGAGCCAGCGGCGGCGGTGCCAATCATAACCAATTCCACCACCACCGTACAAACTTCCCATTCCAATTACTTGAAAAGAAAGAAGAAGATCAACCTTGCTCTTCTTCTTCCTTCCCTTCCTCCTCCTCTTCAGATCAACCCAACACCATTTCTGCCCTCCAAATCTCTCCGGATCCCTCCAAGAAGCCGCCTCCTAAAAGGACATCCACCAAGGACCGCCACACCAAGGTAGATGGACGTGGCCGTAGAATCCGCATGCCAGCTCTCTGTGCTGCTAGAGTTTTCCAGCTTACTCGAGAACTCGGTCACAAATCGGACGGCGAGACCATCGAGTGGCTCCTGCAACAAGCTGAGCCTGCCGTGATTGCTGCCACTGGAACCGGGACGATTCCAGCAAATTTCACGTCTCTTAATATTTCCCTCCGTAGCTCCGGCTCCAGCATGTCGGTTCCCTCACAGTTACGATCCTCAGGGTACAGTTCAAACTTCTCCATGCAACAACGTCGGAGTTTGTTCCCCGGTATCGGACTCGACTCCTCGCCGACAACATTCCTCAACTTCCAGTCCAGTAGTAATTTGAATTCTATGTTTCAAGCCAAGCAAGAGCTCCGGGATAGCAGCAATACTACTTCCTTGGATATATCAGAAACTGATGAGGGTAATTTAGGAAGAAAAAGAAGGCCGGAGCAAGATTTATCATCCCAGCATCAATTGGGCAGTTATTTGTTACAGTCAAGCACTGGAGCAATTCCGGCCAGTCATGGTCAGATTCCGGCCAATATTTGGATGGTTGCTAATTCCAACAATCAAGTGATGAGTGGTGACCCTATTTGGACATTTCCTTCCGTTAATAACAGTGCTTTGTATAGAGGCAGCATGTCTAGTGGGTTGCATTTCATGAATTTTCCGGCCCCCGTGGCCTTATTACCAGGCCAACAATTGGGGTCCGGTAGCAGCAGTGGTGGTGGGAGCAGCGGGATGGGAGAAGGGCATTTGAACATGCTTGCTGGATTAAACGCGTACCGGACGGGGACGGGCGTATCAGAATCACAGGCTAGTGGGTCGCAGTCGCACCACGGCGGCGGTGATGATCGGCATGACACGACCAGCCACCACTCATAAAGATTGATTTTCACAGTTTCATCTGTGTAGTTTGATGTGTAACAGCACACGTGAGGTTTGATTGCTCTTGAAATTTGAGTTTTTATGATCCCAAATTAAATTCTTTTTACTTTTCTTTCTCTTTTTTTGGTGTGATTAATCTGAAGTTGGTTGGTTCTTAGGGTTTGGAGGAAAGGAACGAAGAAAAAATAGACACTATTTTTAACAATATGGGTGTTGGCTGGCATTTCAATTTTTTTTTTATTATAACATATTTAATCATCATTGTTTGTGCACTTTTTAATGTAATTTAAATTATGCATTTTGTGTTTTGAGATGAAATTGAAAATATGGACATATGATAAGTCTCCTACCTAACTAGCAGAAGTAAATTCTTCTCTCTCATTTTCTTTCTGCTTCTCTTCTTCACTCATTCATCATTTCTTAAAACACTAATCCAGTTAAATACAATTCATACTGACGAAGAATTCTTTGCAAAATTGAAATAGTATTAATTTTTAGTCAATTAATAAGTTCAAAAGCAAACTATCTGATGAAGTTATGTTCTTCATTAAAGAATTTTACTAACACTACTGAATATACCTAAACAGAACCTTTGGAAAGTTTGTGCCTTTGTGAAGGAAAATTTTTTCGGTCTAGTTTTTTTTTTTTTTTACCTTTTTCATTCCATCTCAATGAGTGATTCTGCCATGAATCTCAAGGTTTACTGCATCAATGATTAAGATTTCTCAGAGAAGTTTTGGGGGGAAGATGGGTAATAATAGGACGGGTGGGGTCCAGCCCTTATCAGTTCCAGGTGTTGGCACAGGTGGTGGGACCCAGCTGCTGCTCATTGCCCAAACCAATGTACATTGTCACTGACAAACAGGTGGATCATTCCTCCCTCCTCTTTTCAGAGAGGAGAAAAAAAGAGATCGGTGGTGGGTGTTAATGACCCTACCCTAAGTGGTCCCCATTCAAACTTCTCTCCATTAATCTTGGCCGTTCAATTTGTGGGCCACCCTCTTTGATGGGCACTGAATGATTGGGTCTCAGTATGGGAGAAAAATCCTGATGTTTCGAAACGTTTCATGACTTCTCCCTAGTTGGCTGGCAATTTGCGTTTCTGCCATGGCCATCACCTCCGACTTCCTTTAGATGAACTAGTCTTCTTTAGGTGTTGTATCATTTATGCATCACTTGGAGCAGTATTCATGATACTACAATTTGGTGACATATGCAACTTGCGTTAGTGGCATATCTTTGAGTCCAGTGCCATGGCATGCCTGATTGCATGATCACAAAATCAGATTGTTAAAATATGTACACACTTTTTTACTGTAGTTGATGCTGAACCTTATGGTCATGCATTCTCCTTATTGGTATATAATTGAATGGGAAATTAGAAGTTTAGAAGAAATCTTTTGCAAAGCGCTAGCTAATAAGGACTTGGGCAGATGGGATTCCCAGGTTAATGAGGTATTCTCTGATTGAGATATATGTTTTTCTCTTTTCCCTTGTTTATCTTTTGAAACCTCTGGATGCCATGATGATCAAAAGGGTTTAGAAGTTTTTACCGAGTGGATAGTGCTCTTAGCTTATATATAGATATATGCCTTTCACTAAACCTTTTTTTTTTTTGTTGATCAGCAGCCTTTCACTAAACCATGTATACCCCCCATTGATCCATTGATGAAATTCAGTCTTATGATGAAAAAATTCAATGGTTAATATCTTTGGTTTAATTGGTAATTGTTTATTTAAATCATATACAATTTACTAGGATTTTCAATTTAGGAGAACAATTGAAACAATTCGTGTAGGATTACACTACGGGTTTTTTTTTTATCTTGAAGACATAGGTTAAGAATATAATAAATACATAATTTTATAATAATTTATATAGAAAATAACAAAAGTTGACTTAAATTTAATTAATTGACTAATTAAAATTTTTCATGTGACAATAGCATTAAAATAAAAATTAACTTTTGTTATTTTTTATGTAAATGAATTATAAAAAGATACATTAATATACCTCTAATTTATGTTTTAAGAATATAGATTAGACATATCTTTTCACTATTAATTTAATAGTTCTTTAAATTAAAATTTATAAATCTTCAAAAACTTAATTAAATTCAAACTATTAATAATAATTTCTTTTCATACTTATATCTTACTAGAATTGCACTCTTCATTTAATGTGAGAAGGCATTACAATGACCACGGTTTACTTTATAAAATATCCAGGTATCAATGCATCACCGACACACACATAAAAATATCTCTTTTTCAACCAGAAACTAAAGCATCAAAAATATCTCTCTTCCAATTTCTGAATTTTTGATTTCAGAAAAATGGGGTTTGGATTTTACGGTTTTATCCAAGTCAAATTAAGCTTAAAAGCTAAGGATCGTCAAAAAAGCATAATTATTTTGTAGATGTTGATATTTGTCGTGTAGCATTAATGCCAAATCCAAAGTAAAGCAACTGGCATTCGTGAGGAGATTAATCAAATCATTACGCCTTTTGTTGTCATTAGGGAAGAATTAATAAAGGAAAAGCCTAAAGCAATAATCGATCGATATAACAGAGAAAATTACTGCTACGCAATTCTTTTTCTCAAATATAAATATCATAAAGTGTAATACGATCAACCCAAACAAAAAGTGCAAGGAGAGTTACTTGAGGCAGTGGGTAAAGGGTAGCTGTATTAGGAGTAGGCCAAGGAAGAAAATAGTAGCCAAAATAAGGTTTCGAAATTACCAAACAGGGAAAGAAAATAAGAGTCATAGGGTGGGGTGACTGAATAGGTCTTGAATGATTCTTGTTCTGGTTAGATCTCGAGGTTTCAATGGTAGCTAGGTACATTTCTCAATCGTGTGTGTGGATAGTTTATAATAACAATGCAATAGAGTGAGGTGTGTATACTGAGTTGTTGTGCCCCTATTTTCATACATATGTTTAACATTCAATTAAACTAGATTTAATTATTTATAATGAGAAAAATAAAGAAGATATGCAAAATATTCAATTGATGTCCTTAAGGATCATCCACTCATGCGCAGGAAGAAAAAATTGAATTATATTTCACCAAGGAGAAACCCTAGAGGGAGCATTTAAATTGTGGTTGGAAATTAATACAGGCACATGTTTTGTCATTTTAAGCTTTTGATGTTTGTGTAGGAAATTTTGTACTATAAAAAAGGTCCCGTTGGCTCACATTGCTCGCACATGGTCATGAACACATTGGGTAATTATAAAAACCCAAAATGGTCCCTCTCCTTTAAAACCCTGTACCCCCAAAGCAGAAATGATTTGCGGCAATATTTTAGTTACAATATTATATATAAAATTATAAATTTACAATCATAACATAGTATTAAATAAATATAATGTAATATTAAATAAATAAATATATCTAATACTACAAATAAATTTATAAATAAAAAATAATTATATAACAATATATCATATTATAAATTTTTAGTATCACTTTGATCATGTAATTATAACATTTTGTAATTATAACATTTTGGAATGATCTGAGACCCATGAAACAAAAAGTGTTGGTTAGTGGGTGCTAAGAATAAGCAGATTTTGGGTTTTGGGTCAGGAAATCCTGCTTAAGGGAAGCTTTGAGTGGGTAATTTGGGCCCAGAAGACACCTTAATCCCCACAATGATTTGATTATTTCATATTATACCTACCTACCGGGCAATTAGGATTTAGGACTGCAGTCTGCAGGTTGGTTCCTGGCATATATGTACCAGTAAATGGGTCAAGACCCACCAACATTCACAAGGATAGCAACTAATTTTAGGTTCGTTTAATTAAATTGGGATGTAATATAATAATATCCTAATTAATGACTACATCATGTTCTGTTTACAATAACTGCAATTTGCAACCAATCTTAGGGTACATCTTAATTGCAACATTTAAAATACTGTGTAGACAAAATGAGCTTGTCAGGTAATTAACTAGAGATCTCGACTTCAAATTGTTGTATGGGGGAGGGTGGGAATAGAAATGAAAAAGAAAAAATAAAAGTTACCTGGAGATATTTTTCCACGAGAATGCCTTTTTTTTTTTTATTTGGTAGGGCAAACTGCATTTTTAAAAAATAATAATAATTTAGAGTCAAAAGACAAAAATACCCTCATAGATCCTCAATTTATTAAGGGTATTTTTGTCTTTTCAAACTAAAGACTAGTATTTACAATGCATGACAAACTATGAAAAACATTTTTGTATTTTCACAACGGAAGTGATAGAGATTTTATTTTACACACTTGAATTTTGAGAAAAAAAATATTTTGTTTAATGATCATATATATATATATGTACCAAATTCTAGGATAATTATGCAAGCAAATTCAAATACTTCTCCAATTACCTAGAGGTGGTAGATTAGTTGCTAATTTGGTTTAATTCTCACCTGGTTGATTGGTTTTTGATTCTTCAGAATAACCAATAAAAAGTTAACTACTTACAAATGCCCTCAAAGGGTTGTCTTAAATGATTAAGAATTTAAAACTCTAAATTAGAAATTTCAAGTTAAAAATTTAAGATAAATGACGAGGGATTGAGGAAAGGGGAATTCTATCCTTCTATTATATAGTTTACCAATTGATTTACCAAAAAATAAAAACTTATTAGTTTATTACTCCTCCTAACCAAATTTAATAGTTTTAATTTGACTTTTATATGAGGTTTGATTAAATAATTTTATATAATAAATAGATAGCAATTGAATTTTTTTTTTCTCTATACGTAGTACTTGTTAATGCTTGTTAAGTATTTTCACTTTAAAAAAATTTTAATTATCATTCATTTAATATATAAAATTATTAGGTTAAAGCATATATAAAAGTCAAATTAAGATAATTAAATTCGACCTAAAAGACTAATTTTTATGTGAATATCCTGTTTTTTTTACCAAATTAACAAAATAGACTTAAATGGTGTTGGAATTGAATAAAAACCTAAAGCTTTAAACCCATAGAGCCCCTGCGCCTGCCCTAGAGAGAAAGAGAAGTTGTACGTAGCCACGCACGGGAGAGGGGGAAGCGGCCTTGCCGATTCTATCCCTTCCTCCTCTCCTCCCTATTTCCTTTTTCTTGTCCTTTCATTTTAGTTTTCATTGTCCTCTCGCTTGGCCGGATTTACTGCCTTTGGATTCGGTTGGGGTTCTCTTTGCACACATGTCCTGCGATTGTGCATGTTATGTCCTGCTGTTGTGCAAGTTTGGTCCCTTCTGACAACTGTGAGGGTTGGTATGTATGGTTTCATTTTTGTTTTTCCTGGATTTCCAAGTGCCATTGACATCTCAAGGGCTTTAGAGTTTCTTTTGTACGCAACTAATCTACAAGCACTGCTGACGATTCTGAGCAAATCTTCAGGCGGCTTACTTTTTTTTTTTTTTTTTCTACACTGATTATTATAGTACACTTTTAATTTAATATATATACAAAATATTTATTAAAAATTTATTATAATTATAATTTAATATAAAATTAAAAATAAAAAATTTAAAAATACAGTTATGCGTATGCAGCATGTAAATATCAATTAAATCAATTGTATTTATCTTATATCTTAATAATTAAACTAAATAAGTATTAAAATGTGAGAAAATGATTTTTGTACAATTTTTTTGTCCTTATTTTTTTTACAATCTGATATAATATTAAAATAATTAATTTTTTTAATTCATGTACGATTTGTAATATTAAATACATTCACTCATTCAATGATATGTACAAGTTGTATAAAAATATAATATAAAAAAATTATCTGTATAGCATCACCCTAAAATGTATATTAAATCGAAAGATCTATTAATCATTTCCCTTTTTTTAATGTAATTTTTTTCCGGAAAGTGCTTTGCTGCCATTAGCGCTTTGCTGCCATTAGCGCTTTTCTTAGCTTAACAAATTTGAGTGGGAATAGAGAGGTGGCCACGTTTCTAGATCCGTTAATCCCATGCTTAGGTTTGCAATTGTTATTTTCAGTGGTAAAATATCGAAATATCTATTACATCTTAATAACTAATAGAACAAAAATCTATTATACTTGGATTCTCATTTTCCCAGCAACCGTTCAGAATTTTGCTCCAAAATTTCCCGCTTCTCATAATTAATCATGAAACAAAGGGAATAAACATAATTACGAACTCATGGACTAAAACCTCATTTTATTGCCAAACAAACCAACAAATTTTTTTTTCGTTCAGATTTTACTCCAACTTGTTGGAGATCATGTCATTCTCAAGTTCCTCATCCAATGAAAAGATAATTCCAACCAAATTAGCTTTCTTTTGTCTCATCAATTTGAAACTGAGGACTATATTCCACCCGCC